TTAGCAAATTACTCTCGCAGCTATAATATTTGAGTGATATACATAATGTACATATATAATACATAAAGATCATGACTTCCAGTCAACCGACATCTCAGACTATTTTGTGTGGTTATCGCTACTCCAGTGCTAGAATTACTGCCTCACGCCCGCAAAAATCTCACAATGAGGGCCCACAGCTGATGCTACTGAGTCGCCCTCTTACCGATTTTTCTAGCGTGAGGGACGCCTTCTGGGCTGTTTTGGGTACCCGCGGATCTCGCGGCCTGCGTGGAATAAACCTAATACTTGTTTATTTATATCTGTCTGATTAAGAATTCAGAATTTCCTGTTTTTGGTTGGCTACGCGTCGAAAAACCTTACTAGAAACGAGAAATCAAAAAAAAAACTTTCTATGAATCTGTACTCACTATATAAATTTGCAGTTTGATGTTGCTTCTTCTACGTCTTTAGCTCTGCAATAATTCATTGGGTTATGTCGAGATTAAATATATCCACGCTCTTCACCCTTCACAAAGTCATTTTAGCAAAGTTTTGGCTAACTTAAAAGTACTTTCGCATACTCTTCCCACAAACAATTTTTAACATGTACTCCTTTTACTTAATTTATTTTACAAGCCATTTATTTTATAATCGTAAAGTAGCTTTTAATGTTTAATTGACATTTTTACAATTTAAATTACCATTGTGTGGCGCGTGTAGCGGTTTTATGATTTATTGTTTGCTTTTCATCTATTATTATTTAATAGCTGTGTGAAAATTTCCCAAAAAAATAATAGCTTACCTCACAATTTTCTCGTTAACGATGAATTAAAAAGACAAAAGAGCAAAATTTACATAATTCACTAAACTTTGACTTTTTGATGTTAAGTTGTGGATTCACTGTTTTTTCACAATTTTTTCTTGACTCCTAGCTTGCTTGTTAGCGGTATCACATTGACTTTGTCCACTTGTTTAGATGAGTTAATACTAGAATCTGTAGTCAAATGTTGGTAGGTGGTATCATGACATCGACCTTGTATTTGTTTTTCTTCCGAAGTATGCAAATTTTATTACCGCTACTTCATTTGATGTATGTACCCTTGTGGTCAGCTGATTAAGTCAAGTGACATTTTGATTAGTTTTGGCTATTTTTCTTTTGTTTATATAATGTTTATATTTTTTTTTTATAAAAATTCAGCACTTTACCTAACCAGGGCCACATAAATCCACACTTCAAACTTCAATAAAGTATGCTCGACAATTTCGTTTGTATGAGAGAAAATGCCTAGTAGCATCAGCAAAAAACATGGTTAAAAATCAACGCAATTTTCTAGCGTCTTGAAATTTGCACTTTAACCAACTAAAATTTAATGAGCTACAAACTGCATACCCAAAATTTTTCTAAAAATTCTAAATAAAAAGTTTAAAATTTTTGAATGCAATTATTAGAGTTTGTTGAATTTTTATGATTTTTTTACGAAGTTTGAAATATGGATTAAGTGCTAAACTTTTATAAAAAAAAAATTTAAACATTAAATAAACAAAAGCAAAATAGCCGAAATTAGTCAAAATATCACTTGACTTAATCAGCTGATCACAAGTGTATGTACATATACATACAAACATATGTTCACATACCATTTTTTTGGGTAGGAGTAGAAAAGTTTTTTTCATCTACATAGTATGAATTTGAAAATTCGCACGGTTGCCATATTTTTAGGAAAAATAACATCACGCTTCTCACCCTTGACTAAATAGTTTTATAATAAATATTCTACTGAGAGATTCTTGTAGTAAACAGGCCGAAAGATGCTCCTCCATTAAATTGGAATAGATGGTGCTAACGTCAGTCATAACAAAAACATACAAGGTAAAAAAATTCCAAATTGACTTGGAAATGGTATATTTATCTGGCAAATGAGCAGCGCGTGTATGTACATAGTTACCCAAAAAAATAACTTCATTTTTTATCCATTTTTAAACCAAACAAATTAAACCTTTACAATTTTACCCTATTATTTATCAAAACAGAGAGAAAAAGTAATAGGTGACATGCAGAGTAATCGTTTCCAAGTTTCTATGTAAGTCAAGTCAAATTCCCAAGTCTTGCATCACCGAACTTTAGGAGATTTAATAAAAAAATATCTATGTATGTAAATACGTGCATGTATAGTGTAGTCGAATTGGACGCAAAAATTGCCTAACTTGTAAATTAATTCAGTGAAAAAATACCAAATTGAACCAAAATATTTCGGTGCAGAGGAGATCTAAAAAATTAATAACGATCGGTTTTTTGTAGGGATTTATGTTAAAAACATCCGTAGTGTCGACTTAAGTCCAGACGAAAATTATACGGAAAACGATGTTGTGTCGTTTTTTTTTTTTTGTACAAAAATTCCGAAACTTGTTTAACCCCAACTACGTGATATTCGCGATATCTTTCCTGAGGCCCAACTCTTAACTCGGCAGCCAGTTCGAAAACGTCTTATCTCAGAAAACTTTTCAAGAACGCACTATTTCAGAATTTGAACCGTTCTTTGGGAGTTCTTCAACCAAATTCTAAAATAGTGCGTTCTGAATTTGGTTGACCCCCTGACAAAGCTTCAAAGGGCAGATAATGTCAGCACGACTTTTTCCACCTACCTCCATATAGTCAAAACACTGTGCGAGGTAGCGTAAATGTAGGTTGACGGGCAGAGGAACATCAAATTTGCTGTTGATATATATATAGAGAGAGAGAGATGATCTCCGTTTTACGTCCGCGGGTAACTGCGTAAGAGTTGCGCAAAGTTTACCAATTTTATTTGCAAACCCCGAAGTCCTACTATATCGCATTCCGCCCCAACCCACAAGGAGCATTATTATATTGTTCGCTTTTTGCTCCTCAGCTAGTAATAAAGGAGCACAAATCATGTCAAGTAGTGCTCTTTTACTCCTCACTTTGGGAGATCTGCCTTCAAGTTCTATGTAGTTGGTGGGGGTGGAATCTGTTGTGTATCAATTCATCGAAAATTAAATTTACAAATCAAATACCTGCGACACCTACATAACTGCTGGTTTTTTCTGCGCTATTAAACACATTATTGTGTACTTAAAAAGTAGTTATGCCGCAATGAGTGAGCATAGCAAAAAAAAAAAAAAAAAAAAATATCTGAAAAGAAAGAAAAAAGATATAAAAAAGAAGGAAAAAATTACTGTTTAGCTTAGGCGACGGCGTTAATATTGTCACTAATGACAATAGTTGGCACAAATTCGGAGCAGCGACACTTCAAAATACCTACGATTTATGCAACTCCAAATGTGCCGCTGTGGTGTAGTGGTAAGCAGTGCGCGCTTCCACTCCACAATGCCTGGGTTCAAACCCTGGTCAAAGCAACATCGCAAAAATATAGAAAAAAGGTTTTTTCTTAACAGCGGTCGTCCCTCGGCAGGCAATGGCAAACCCCCGAGTGTATTTCTGCCATGAAAAACAGCTTCTCATAAAAATACAATCGCCGTTCGGAGTCGGCGTAAAACTGTAGGTCCCTCCGCTTTGTGTGACAACATCAAGGCGCACGACACAAATCGGAGGAGAAGCTCGGCCAAACACTAACATATGTGTAAGCGCCAATCTATTATTATTATTAAATGTGCAATGCATAAAGCGCAACAACGGCATCAACAATTACCGCCGCCGACTGATGTGGACTGCATTTGCCACATTGCATTGCATTCCAGTACATTGTCCCCCAGTAATAACAAAACATCATACGACTTAACATTTCTATTATAAGCGAAAGTGTCTACAACTTCGATGCGCTGCTTGCCATTTCATAACACAGTACATACTAGGTATATACGAGTATGTATATATTATTTGTTGTATTTGTATTGTCGAGCCAGTTAATCATAAATTATATAGGCAATTTCGTTTCCTCATTTACCTTCGCTATACTAAAATTCAATTTGCAAAATTTGAATAATATTTCTGTAACTACTTAAGCGTTTTATAAATTTGCATTTTTATTTTCTTTTTGTACACAATTTCAGCGTCGTTGGCAGGCACCCAGGTGGCACATCAATTGGTGGTGGCAATTCGACAAAAGTGCACACCCGATGAGGTGATCAATATTCTAAAGGAGTTGCCGAATTCCGGCGAAAATGCGGATCAGGAAATGTCGGAGACATCATTCAATCCACTAAAAATCGATGTGTTCGTGCAGACGTTATTGAATTTGGGCGCCAAATCGTTTTCGCATAGTTTCGCTGCAATATCGAAATTCCATTTGGTCTTTAAGGTGAGGCACTCGGCCATAGTTCGGCCATTTTTTGGCTGAAGTCTAACCAAACTTAGTATATTTCGAATGCAGTTTTTTTTTGTTTAGTTTCTACAGTCAGAAAGCCTAAAATATAAAAGTATAATTTTAAATTCGATTTAAACTTGCTTTTTCTAGGCCCTCGCCGAATCCGAGGAGGCGCAAATTTGCATACTTCACAACGTCTACGAATTATGGCAGAATCATCAACAAATGATGGTGGTCATTATAGATAAATTATTAAAATTACAAATTGTTGATTGTTCTGCTGTCGCTACGTGGATATTTTCCAAAGAGATGACCGGCGAGTTCACCAAAATGTACTTGTGGGAAATACTCCATTTGACCATAAAGAAAATGAATAAACATGTTATTAAATTGAGTAAGTAAATTGCATTAGTTTATATGTATGTATGTATGTAGAAATATATTGTTAGAATTGAAACTAAAAAAACACATCTCATGATACAGGTAGCGAATTAACTGTTGCGAAGGAAAAGTTGGCTAAAGTGGACTCATCGTCCAGCGAATCGGAGGATGAAGCAACGCCCAAGCGTAAGAAGCCCATCAATAACGTAGATAAACCAACTGAAGAGGTGAGCATAAAAAAAAATCAGAAGCACATACGAATATTAGCAAATTATTTACTTGAGATCAACTGTTTTTTTTTTTTTTAATTCAGTCGTTACAAATCTCCAAGCAGGTCACTTCTGTTTTGTAAAAATAATGAATTTGTAAATGCATTTGGTCTAGCGGGCACAGTTTTTTCTCATTATGCATTCGTATGTTTATACAGATATGTTTGTATATGTATATATATGTGCATATCTATATATGTTTGTATATATGTACATATACATATATATGCAAGCCAATAAATCAAAGTGATGGCAAAAGTATTTTGATATTTATTCTTTTACTAATTAATTACTAATCTTGTAAATTTTGCCGCATTTTCACTTTTCATTGCCAAAAGCTTAACGCATTGCGGATTTGGTGTACATTACTTTAATATAAATTGACCTAATTTAGTTTTATTTTTATTTAGTTTTACGCTAGACGTATTACACTTTTATTTTCTTTAAATTAATAAGCAAAAACAAATTGTAATTAAATATGCAAAATCGTTGCTGCGTGGCGTGGCGAATCGCTGTATATGGATTGCGTCACTTTTTAAGCCGCCACTACATTTAAATGTAAACATTGTTTAGGCCGCCATGTCGGCTAGTCGGCCATTGAGATAGCAATGCGGAGCGAGCGCTCCATTCCTCATTCACCCACTTAATTATTCACCTCATGTTTTCGCGTTTTGTTTGGGTTAACGCTTCGTTTGGCACACAAAAGATTTCAGCTTCCTTTAAGCGGCCAGCCGAAAAGCGGAAAATTGAGAATACGGTTTCTGTTGGCGCAAGTTTTTTGACTTGTATTATTTGCTTGTTTTGTGATTTTCACTAAACTTTTGAATGTCTGTTGGATGTTCTCTTATAAAGTGGCTGCGCTTCGGGTTGAGTATGCGCGCGCACACAATATAATTCAACGCGTTCGCTCAGCCGTCAAAGATAAGAAAATCCGACGAACGCCAAAAATATAAGGTGATTTTGATTGCCGTTTTAATTCTCGCATGGCTTCTGTTGAGTAAATTTTCGCACTGATTGGGTTTTGCCAAAGGTAACACGGCAACCACAGGTCTATAACATGTCGTTAGCTTTCAATTTTCATTGAGTAAAATCAATAAACTCTCTTTGCTGGCAAACTCTTTGTCAAATTCATATTGGTTAGTTTGAGGAAACAATATTGTACAAAAGAAAGAAATGGAAAAAACACACACAACTTCCGGAGCTATCCTGGCTGTGTAGAAGTTGAGCCTGCTATACTAGCCGGTCACGAATTGGGATAACATTGTTGTTGTAACAGCATTCAAGCTTCCCAAAGAGGTTTTTCGGAGTGATGCTGGAGTGACAGTACTTGGCCAGATGTAAATCTGGTTCGTTTGGGTTACGTAGACCCGACTGTCGTGGGAACGATAACATTGTTGCGCGGTAGTCCAATTTTGTCGGCGGAGATGGGAAGGGGTAGCCTTTTATCACTATGTTGTTGCTGTGAGTAGTGAGGGAGAGAGAACGTCACCTTGTTAGCTTTATTGTTGGCTGTTTGTACCTTTGTGAATGTTGGTGGAGGTTCATTCGGACGGATTTTATGCCGAGTATAGTGCGTCTGGCCTTGTGCTTTCCATGGCGCTTAATAAGTTGTCAGTAGAAACCTAGCGCGAAATTACTGTGGTTCGAAGTATTTTATAGCCGAATCTGATGCCGGTAGGTCGTTGTGCTTCGACGGGTTAAACAATGACTTGTCAGCCGCCCATAGTTTTGTAGCTCCGCCTTGTGAGTTTGCAGAACTTTTTAAGTTCGGGCTATTGTGAGAATAATGCGAAGCATTTCTACGGTTCGATGAGGCATAAGTAGCAAATGCGGTTCGCACAAATCCTTATACTTCGCCGAGTATAGCAAGGCGATGTTTGTCAGTTGGCCAATATTTAGGCTTTCTCATCCGGGCATCAGTTTTTGTTGTTATGGTAGCGACCATTTATTGCTTGTTGTTTTTGTTGTTGTTGTAGCGGCACTACTAAGCCCCGCCTATTTCGGTTCATCCTTCAATCATTGTCATAAAGATCAACTAACGGTAGGCCCAGGAAATGCGCAGTTTCAATAGGGTCTAACCAAAGGGAGAGGGTTGTTGGCTGAGTGGGATTGTGCTGGCATGTGAAGAGGTGGTTGGTGTCGTGCCACATGGTGCCATGTGTCCACATGCCGGACACTCATTAGGGATGTTGCGGTCGAGTCTGGACTCGTAGCTGTTGAGGCGGCTACAGTATCCAGACCGCAACCGGGCCAGTTGAAGCTCCGTTTCTGCTACAGGTGGTGATTGGGCTCCGATCAATGCATTCATAGGCCGGGAGTCGTGGTAGGTGGTGACCGACTCCCTATGAATGCCGTTGTTGTTGTTGTAGCAGCATACAAATTCCCCAAAAACTTTTTGGGGAGTGTTGCTGGAGTGACAGTCTTTGGCCAGATATAAATCTGGGTCGTTCCGGTTACGTAGACCCGACTGTCGTGGGGCCCAGTGGTTGGTCGGTATGAGTTTGGAACGCGTCCTTATAAATGAATAGGTTCCCCCTGACGTGCCTGGGCAGAGGATGCTCCTCTAGGAAGGGTTTATTGGGGTGTTCACATCTGTGGCTCCTTTACGGGAAGCATTTGTGCCTCGCTGTGTAGGTGGTGCTCTGGCGACATCAGAAGGCACCCTGTAACTGTCCGGAGTCCAGCGTCCACTGCGTCCAACTAGTCCCCGGTGACCAACCTGGCGCAGTATAGTTTAGAACCAGCCCCAATTACCATGTATGTTGCCAGCAACGTTTCTTTTTCTTCACCTTCACTTCACTTTTCACCTTCACTTCGCCGCTGGTGAAAGTAAGTGGTGCACTGTTTTTCCGCAGTTTGTGCAGCTCCTTGATCACTCGACGTTTGGCGTTATCTACCGAAGGATGCAATTTGAGATGCCGGCTAAAATAGCTCGCGCAGCTCTTCGGATCCGACGAGGTGCGACCATCGAATAAAATTGCACTCTGCGCCTCGTCGGGTTGGGCAGAGATCTCTTGGTTGACCAGAGGCGAAGTGCTCTTTCCAGTTTTTCGGTTTCTGCTGATTTACCAGTTGCCGTCGTCATGCTCTTCGGCTGAATTGCCGTTCGTAAATGTCCGCAAAAACTACACCTTTTTCAACAGTATTCTAAAAATATTTTTCTGAAATACATTTGTGCTTTTCTGAAATACATATGCGTTTTTCTGAAAATAACTTGAACTTTTCTGAAATACAATTGTGTTTTTCTGAATTTCATTTGGCTTTTTCTGAAATACATTTGGCCTCTTCTGAAATACATTTGAGCTTTTCTGAAATACATTTGAGGTTTTCTGAAATACATTTGAATTTTTCTGAAATTCATTTGGCCTTTTCTGAAATTCATTTGGCCTTTTCTGAAATTCATTTGGCCTTTTCTGAAATACTGTTGGAAAAGGTGTAGTAGTAGGGAAGAGATAGTACTTTCAGTATTTCATTGAAATTTCTCTAATGTTTCTGGCGTGATTATTACAACATGCGGCAGTCAATTTAACATACACAAGAACATCAATATATTCGTGAAACTAGGGATCAATAATAAAACTGCGTTTTTAGTAGAAGGTACAAACCACGGTACGAAAATAAATAGTACATAACAATTCCAATCGCTCATCGACAATCATATCATCTTCTTTTGCTTATCCCACTTTCAATTCTAAAATATGCACAGTGTTAACGTTGTTACGCTTATTACTCAACAGGTAGTCGAACGTATGGAAGAGAAATTGGAAGCAGCAAATGTGGATCAAAAACGTCTATTCTTGATTGTTTTCCAACGATTCATAATGATATTGTCCGAACATTTGGTGCGTTCTGACACAGATGGGCGTGACCCTGATACCGATTGGTATCGCTGGACCATAGGACGTCTGCAGCAAGTGTTCCTAATGGTAAACAAAATGAAATTTTTGACAAAATTCAGAAAAATAATACTTATTTTTCTTTTATCCGTTTGCAACAGCACCACGAGCAAGTGCAAAAGTACAGCAGCACGTTGGAGACGTTGCTCTTCACCTCGGACTTGGACTCACACATACTGGAAGTGTTCCATCAGTTTGTAGCCTTAAGGGCGTAAGGCAGTCAAAACACTAATTATATGTAGCTAAAGATACATTTTTTTATTTGATCCATTTGTTGATTTATTCAATTGAAAATCAGAAAGCGCATAAATAATGCAAGCAATTAAGAAATCAAACAAATTTTCGGCGCTACAATTTGATAATGGATTTGTCTGAAATCCAACGAGACAACAGGGAAATAGTATGATTAAAAATAACCATAAAACTTTAAATTTTGAAGTTTAGACAAGGACTTTAGTAAAGCTGAGGCTTAAAAATAAAATTGTATTGATATTAAAAAAACAAATAAACGATTTACCACTTTTCGTTATGTCGAAATCTAAACGTTTTCATTCCAAATTAATTATTCGTCTCGTTGGGTTTACTTAATTTATTAATTTAGTTAAGAATCCATCATCAAATTTAGAAAAGGGATAGCTTTTTTTAAACAAGCATTAACTTTCTTTGTATTTACTTTCATATTTGTTAACGTTCATTTCATTTTCGCATTGCTAATGAACAGATTATCACATGATTTACTGATTTACGTACTTCGTCCACATTTAGTTAGAGCATGTATTTGAATTATGTTAATGTCGCTGAGCTAAGCATTGCATTTTTCATAAGTTCGCAAGAATTTAAATGCAAGAAACAATGTAATTGACTTGTTAAAATAACAACAAAAGAACGTTTAATTCTCTATGGAATTGTAACAAATAAATGTATACATATAAAAACCAGTAAAAAACATGTTTTGTGCTCTACATTTTTTAACTAATTCTCGTAGCCAATGTTAAATAAGCAAAGTCAGTCGGCCAATAAGTTAAGCACCTAACTATATTACCCAAGCTGTCTATAGAAACATTGGATAATGATTTCGATTCTTTGGCTACTATTTGGGGTTTCATATCGACTTAACAATCCTTCCCCTGCCTGTCACTAAAACACTTGGATCCCCTGATGCATTGAGTCGCACCAAGAGACGCCTTACATCAGCATGGATGACGCAAACTGCCTGGCACTACTCTCTGTCTAATCTTGTGACGTTAGGCCTATTCAAGCACTTCGATGCAGTCGAAAACGTTTGTTGGTCAAATACCTTATTTAGCTACAAAACCTCAAATCACTTAGGCATAAACAGGTCGTCGACAGTGCCATTCTGGAGAGTAACTATGAGCACTATGTAGATTTACATACTAACGACAGATAAATTAATATTTCATATCAATAATTGCATTAAAAATGATATTTCTTAACTACATTTTATTAAAAATTAAAAATATTTCACATAATTTTATTTATTTGCAACGCCCATCGTTTTGTGTGCGTTAACTTTGGCGTTGGCGTTACCGTTGATATGTGGACATGCTCATATAATTGTGTGTATTCAAAGTCAGCTGTTAATCAACGCCAAAGCCAACGCCAAAGTTCTATCTGGACCGGCCTTTTATCTACTACTAGTCGACACTCGCAATAGGGGTGTTAGTTTAAACGCTCGAGCTGGCTAGTTTAAACTAAGATTTTCCAATCAACCGCAGTTTACGTAATCTAAGTTTAAACTGGCACTGAAAAACTGGTCCTTAGTTCCATTATACACAGTTTAGAAATAAAAGATTAATTTCCGAAAAAATTTAGTATGCAGTTTTGTATGCCATTCCATTTTAGTATAATAAAGTCCAAATATTAGGTAGCTAAGGCCTACCGTTGATTTTAGGCTTTCTTTGTTGACGCTGCTCTGGATTTTTTTTCCATATAAAAAATTTTCGAACATACATGGAAAAAAATGTGTACCACCGTCAGCAAAAAAGAAATTGCTACTGCATATTTGCACTTCATTATACTCAAATTGAATGCCATACAAAACTGCATACCAAAATTTTTCCAAAGATGCTGATTAAAAAATTTGAAACTTTGCATAATCTTCATAATTTTTGCGCAAAGCCTGAAATTTGGGTTTATATGCTGTTTGTT